CATTTGAATCCGGGGGAGAGCACTGCAAACCTCTTAAATCATGAGATAAACTTTCAATTTACACAATACATAATCAGTTCACACAAGAATAGAAAGGCAGTTTTTCTGGCGAAGCTCTCGCCAGGTTAGCAATAGTTTCTCACGATCACCAAACCCGAGACACAAACGATAATACAAAGTGTATAAATACCATAACAAGCACAGTGTCTTTGAAATTGACGAGACACAATTTTGTCCATATAAGCGTTGCGCAAATAAAGATACAATTCCGGGATACAATATCCTCACACATAAATGACTGATTTCCACCGAGACGAGAACTGTGTATGCGTCATCAAAACTCCGATTAAACTCGGGTAATTTCGGGAAAAGTCGGATTTTCCAACAGTTTTGAAGGAAAAGTTTTAAAAATCAAAGAAAAACACAGTGAAACTTTGAAGCATCGAAAAAATAACTTGATGTGCATCATAGCACCATTAATTCCTGTCTCTGTACCAACTCTGAACTGAATTGGATCACACATGTGTGAGAAAAAGCTGGTAACGTAAAAATGTGCACACACAGATGCACAGACACGACCCAAATTAATACCCCCCGCCCGGATGGTAGATTCGGCTGAGATCTCCAGAACCCTGCTCGAAGCATCTGCGTGAGCGAGGCCCCAGACATCAAAACCAATGAGTTAGCTACCCCACGCACCTCGTGTGCCTTCACCTGGTAGCGCTCCGAACGAACCGATGAAGAAGCAGTTAACACTTCCATGACCGTATCAACAATCCACCGCGAAATGGTGATATTTGAAGCAGGGTGCCTCCGTTTGCCCGGCCCATTACAGACAAACATGCGCTTCTCACTGCCCCTAGACACCTTGGTGCAATCGCAGTACCAGCTCAGAGCTCGAACCAGGCATAGAATCCTCACCTGACAGTCCTCCTTGCCTACAATGTTAGTGAGGCATGGGATGACGATCGGCTCAGGGTCGCACCCTGGGATTTCATTCTTGGCAAGAAAGCCCAGCCGAATCTTCAGAAGGCACATCCCTTCTAAAGGACAGTGCCCCTATCTCCGAGCGCCGCCTACCTGACACCAGAGCCAAAAGAAAAAAAACTATTTTCATAGTGACATACTTCATGTCTGCCTTATCCATAGGTTGAAGGGGGGGGTGTCGTAACGCCGACAGAACTAACAAGTCCCAGTCAGAAGGATTGGTGAGCCCCTTGGCGCATGGCTTCTTCGAGCGGAAAGACTTAAACAGTTGATCATAATAGAGCTCAAAGCCAGTTTCAGTCCAGCAGATTCTGATAAAACTGGGAATAAAACTGACCGATATCCAAGAATTGTCGATATAGATTACCCTTGATTAAACAAATAAAGGAAAAAATTGGCTATCTCGCTAATAGAGGGACTGAGATGATCAATCTCCCTTCCATCACACCAATCAGAGTACAGTTTCCATCTGGATTTGTACAACCGTCTGGTGCCGTCTGACTGTGCCGAAGCGAGGAACTTGGACAACTCTGCAGAAAAGCCTTGTGCTTACACAAGTTTATCGATAGCCTCCACACGTGAAGATGGAATAGTGCAGGGCTCATTGGTATCATGCGATCCAGCTGGGACAGCAGATCCGGAACAGTGGGAACCAGATCTTCACTAGCCAATTGGCGCCACCAACGTCAGAATACAGGTGGGCTCAAGTCGTAACTTTACAACAGATGGTACACCATATGGAAGAGTGGAAATGCGTAAGTGTCTATGTGTCTCCAAGATATCGATAGAGCATCCGTGGCAAATGCACTCGTCTCCAGGAGGAGTGACGTACGTCAGGAGCTTGGCGTTCTGGTGATTGGCAAACAGATCAATCCGGGGCCCGTCCCAGAGACGAAAAAGCCGATCTGGCACCCATTGGGGGATCAGCCACTCGGTGTTTTCGAACCAAATATGTCTCGAGAGGGCGTCCGCAGCACTGTTGCATATCCCCAAAAGGTGGTGAGCCAATAGCTCAACTCGGTTCTCCAGGCACCAAAGGAGAATCTCCTTCGCTAGCTTCGTAAACGTGAGGGAATGTGTCCCACCCTTGTTGATGTACGACACTACTGAGCTGTTGTCTGTCCGAAGCAAGACTCTGTGGTGGTGTGCGACTTCCTGAAATGTTTCAGAGACATTAGGACGGTCTGGAACTCCAACCAATTGATGCGTCGGTCGCAATACGCAGGCGGCCACATCCCCTGGACCTGAAGGTCTATCAGACGACCACCCCATTCCTGGAGCGACGCATCTGTAATGCAAGTCAGCGAGGGAGTTGTTGGATCTAGGGGTACATCCGATTCCAAGTTCTGTGCGTCCTGCCACCAAAGAAGGCCGCCATCGCTTGATCCGACAGTTGTCAAGTCCCGCATGTGGACTATGTAGTCCAGTAAGCATCTGCTAACAGAACCAGATGACGAACTGACAATTTTGCCAATAAGCCGCATCAGTTCGCGCATTGACGTCGATCCCGGTGACCGGAGTTGGCTGGCGAGCTCTACAAGCGAGCCGCATTGCTCCTGAGAGGGACAAACACACCCTTGCTCCGTGTCGAACTGCATACCCAGAAAATCTAGGCTGTGAGATGGTAATGGGTTGGACTTGGCAATATTTATTAAAAAGCCCAACTCGTGCAGGAGCATCTGCGTCAACTGCACAAGCTCCACTAAGACCTCCCTGTCTCGGTTGTATATTAACCAGTCGTCGAGGTATGGGTTCAGATAGACAATGATCGGTGTAGCAGCTGGGTCACCTGTCTTAGCACTCTGGTGAAGACATATGGTGCTGCGCACAGACCAAAGCAAAGGGCAGTAAACTCATAGACTTTGCGGGAATAGAACTCAGGTGATACACTGGGGTTCCCCACTAGACGTATCGCCCTTTTCTCCAGAAGGCTTGCTACTTCCTGTCGGATCGTCTCCACCTTGACCCCGTCCCTCGGCAAAAGACCTGAGGGGCGGGTGAAAAGTCAGAGGAGGAGGAGACCGAAGAGGAATCCGATCCCAACGCGACACTACTTCGAGCGTCCAGGGATCGGAAACCCTCCTGCGACAGGCTGGTATGTGCTGCATAAGGCGCGATTCCACGGGAAGGAACTGAGCCCGGGGAAGGAGACCCTAAGTTGTACCACCATCCATGTCCAGACAGCCGGAGAAACCTTCAAAGAGACTTTGCCCCCCCCCGGTCCCCAGAAGTGTCAGAACGCCCACCACCAATGCCACATTTCTTGGTCTTTCGTTGACGCTTCCTGCTACTAGTCTTCTTCTGCCCCTTCGAATGAGACCATGAGCGCTTTGATCCTCGCCGGTTGAGGCTCTGAGCGGCAGACTTACTACCAGGGCTGCCTTGCGGTTTTGGTCTGACCTGTTGACCAGGACTAGCTACCTTAGCCAACAGAGATGATTGCTTCAATTGGATATGCTGATCTTCCGCAACTGCCAAACCGTTCACCGCATCTACTAACCAGCCACCAAATAGCCGGTCACGCCTCCAAGGCCTTCTCTCAGGTGATCAAACTCGTCTCCTGCTGGAGTAGGATAGGCGCACAGATCCAGAACTGCCTCACGCTCAGCCAAAACTGCTCCTGCCAAGAAGGCAGGTCGGAACTTAGCAAGGTGAGCTGACGCTCTAATGCTAGAGAAACCCATTCTAAAAAATTGATGGGTCTAGGTTTCGCTTGTAAAGCCCTATGCACTAGTAGACTATGGTGTCGGTCAAATGACCACACAATGTGGCCTTCCCGATCCGTACTACCCACCTTAACAAATGTATGGGTACTGAGATTAGGATGGGGAACACGTGGAGAAGGTTGTGGTACCGCACGAGTGTCCCACTCTGGGGAAACCATCAATGGTTCGCGTAGCGCCAATGGGGTATTGATTGACCCAACGGAAGACATTGGACATGACCACTCAGGTTCAAGCTGTTTGTCCTTTTTCCCCAAAGGGTACCAATTCCCAACCCCCTCCATCGCCCTCTGAGCC